TGTTCGAACCATTAAGTATTTCACAATTAAGAGCAAAAGCGTAATTGATATATATCAATTAAGAGGTCATGAGTTCGATCCTTCATTCTACATATTGTATTGAAAAATATATTTCACAATTAAGAGAGAAATACAAAATAAGAAACCGTTTTTTTTTAGATTAAAGAATTGTCAAATTTTAAAATTTAAAGGATAGTTATAAAAATACTTGATCCGTGAGAAATCAAGTATTATAAACAAGTTGAGAATAGGATGCAATTACAATCAATTTTAAACATGATTTACATACAGATCGTGGAGAGAGAGAGGAAAGTAGGAAAGAAAATTATAAGATGAAAAGTTAGTAAGAGGAAGAAAGAGGAGAAATGATTGGAAGAGATCGCGCACTCAATTTTTTGAAGAATTGGTGAGTGGTTGGAGGAGGAAAAAGGAAGCGAATGGAGGAAAAACAATCAGCAATTTAGTCGTGTTCGTGAATTTATTATTAATGGTTGAAGTAAAAACAGAACACAACAAAACAGAGGCCTCCACGTCAACGTAAACATATATAGAAGAGAAATGAGTTGGTGGGAGAGAGAGCAGAGGACCCAAAATCATGAGTGAATCAAATTAAAGAGAAGTTTTGTATTGTATTGTGTTGTAATGCCTCTTGATCTGTAGTTGCCAAAAAGCAGAATACAGAACCTAAGCTTGGCCTCTCAATTCTCACTGCTCACTTGCCCAACTCCCAAGACAAGAATAGAATTCAGACACTCAAAAAAGGTTGAAAGAGGAGCTGCTTCCACTGTATTACGTGGGAGCCAAGGCAAAATAGCCATAACTAAGCTGAGAAAAAGAAAAAGTATAAGACGGTCAAAAAAGACTCCACATCCCCGGAATCACTTGAACCCCCGGCAAAGGCATCGGAAACATAACCCAAAAGCACACAAACACAAAGCAAAAGATTCCATCTTGAATTCATTTTATTAACAAAATTCACTTTACTCATCCAACTCTTTAATTCCCTTCCTCTACACAAATGGCCAAATCGCATACGATTTCCCCCCAAAAAACACAATGCCATCTCCCCACCACCCCTCTTTAGTACTCCTCCTCATCACTCTGTTTCTCTGCTCAACGCAATCCCAATCCACCAAATGCCGAACTTCCTGCGGCACCACCCAAATCAACTACCCCTTCGGAATCGACGACGGCTGCGGCAGCCCATACTACCGCCACATCCTCCACTGCACCGCTTCCGGCCAACTCCAATTGAGAACGCCCTCAGGAACATACCCAATCGAGACCATAAGCTACACAGAGCGCCACATCAAAATCACTGACCCCTCAATGTGGAACTGCGACGACGCCCAAAACTTCCGCCCCACCAGACCCTTCAGCCTCGACACCAGCACCCACCTCACGCTCTCATCCCAAAACGACTACCTCTTCTTCAATTGCAGCGACGAAGCCGTGATCGTGGCCCCCAAGCCGATGTTCTGCGAGCGCTTCCCGGAGCGGTGCGATTCGTCGTGCGACAGCGCCAGCTACTTGTGCAGGCACCTGCCCAAGTGCGGGGCGGCGCTCGGGGGGAGCTCCTGCTGCTCCTACTACCCCAAGGCGACCGAGTCTCTGCGGCTGATGCTTAGGTACTGCTCCAGCTACACCAGCGTGTACTGGAGGAGCGTCGGGGCGCCGGATGAGCCGTACGATCAGGTGCCGGAATATGGGATTCGGGTTGATTTCGATATTCCGGTTTCTAGCAGCTGTTTGCATTGCCAGGATATGGCGAGAGGAGGCGGAACTTGCGGCTTCGATACGCAGACTCGGGGTTTCTTGTGCCTCTGTGGGGAACGCAATGTCACTACTTTTTGTGGAGGTTAGTTGATTTTTTATTTTCTATAATAGCATTTCTTTTTTTTTTCTTTATATGTTTTTAGTTATAAAATTTGAGAAACTTTATATATAGATTTCAATAGGGGAAAAATAATTCGTTGGGAATATTTGTTTCTTACAAACACTTCCATCTATAGTTCTTGTTGGCAATTTCTACAAACCAAATTGTAATAATGTAACTTTTAATTTGAGGAATTTAGAATTAAGAGAGAAGATGTTTTTAACGGTAAAGATTAACCACAAACTTGTACATACATACAAATTTGGGTCATTCAAGATATAAAACTATATCTGATATACCTTATTTTGTTAAAAGTTGGAGATTCAAAATCTTTAATTTCTCTGTCGTGCTTTAGAAGAGAAATGAGGAAATTGAGTTCTTTCCTCTTCTTCGACCACTTTAAATTGAATCTCCTCTTTTTCCTATTTTTTTTTCTTTAACACGTTTCTCTCTCTAGAAAATGTCTATTTTTCTTTCTACCACTCTTACGCTTTAGTTTCTCTCTAGTAAAGAAATATTCTAATTCTAGTTTTCTTTGTTTGTTTGTTTTTTTTTACGAAAGAATTTTAGTAGTTAAACTTTTCATGAAATTATAGTATAAAAAGTGGTTTATGCAATTTATTAGTAAATTATATACAATTTAAGGCGTAGGGATGGAGTTTCCGGATACATTTTTTTAATATATGCTTTAAAAGTATTTATTGGAAAATGATACATTTTGTAATAGATTAAGGGGCATAAGACATTTTTACTTGAGATCTATTAATTTGGAATGTTTGAAGATTCTTTATAAAAAGAAAATTAATTCCTCTCGACTCGAGAGGCTTATCAATTAATTGGCCAATGGGTCCCAATGTCTCAGTTTGGGTGGTATAAAGTTCAATTTCTTATAAAAGAATATCAATTATTTAATAAAATCTAAATAACCTAAATTTAAAAGTAGTCACTTTAGGAGAGGATTTTAAACCTCTTTAACTTAACTATTTCACATCCTCTTTGACTAACTACTTCACATCTTGAAATATTCTTTAATTAGGAATGAGGGTACAACTCTCTTTCTCTCTTTCTCTTTTTCTTTTTGATTTGATGTATGAATATGAATATTAATAAATACCTAGTTTTCTTATAATTATCTAACCATTTTTTTTTTCAGATCATGACACGTCTCAACAGAAGACGAGGGAAGCAGTAACATATGGTGAGCGAATTCAAATTAAGTTGGATTACAATTTTTAATTAATCTATAAAACTTCTACCTTTATTCTATTTAAATTTTATATTTTCAAACATTTCATTTGAATTAAATTTGCAGGGACGGCGGCAGCGGTGTCGGCCGCCGGGATGTTCGTAATGGCAGGCGTTATTTGGTTTTTGAGAAGAGTAAGAGCCAAAGCTCCGGTAACCTGCGGGGTTCAGAGCAATGACAATAGGCTTTTTTAATCATCTTTCTGTTTTATTTTTTCACATACATATTTGTTGTTTAAATATTTACCCAACACAAAACTATAGATTATACAATTTTGTAGAAATTAATCATACATAACTGGTATAGCTTCATATATATTTATATCTCATCAACCAAAAAGATTAATCTTCTTGGGAGTGCCCAAACATACTCACATGCTTCAAAAGAAGCTAGGGTATAGCACTTTAATATACAGCAAAGAAAAAAAAACAGAGATTAATTAGGCAATAACATTTGGCAAAATGGGGAAAAAAAGGAGAATTAATCAGCAAGATTTGCCAACAATACAAGGAAGAGGGCCAGCATTTGCAGTCAAAGCGGGAACCATAGAGCCTGGAGCCACCGGAAAAGACTGAGCTCTGCTGTAAATGGGGCTGCAACTTCCCCATCCAGATTGCACAAAATAAGCACCGTTTAAGAACACATCTCTAGAGGATCTCCATTTCCAATTCTTCCACCCATTATTAACTTCCCTCTTCGTAACCTATTCATCATCAAAATAATATATACTTAATTATTTCTGATTACCATTAAAATTAAAATTCAATCTTTCCTCTCTTTGTTAACTCTTAATTTCTTGTTAATGTTTAGTACCTGCTTGGCATTAGAATTTTGGGGAGCCACAAAGTAGTTTCCTTCGCTGAAGATTGTGGGGTTTGCACTTCCACCAATCGCATACATCTTCCACTCATCGTATCTATTGTTGGCAACATGGGCATAACCAAACCTAACCCTACACCATTATTAACCCAATAATAAACTAAATTAAATTACACTTTAAAATAATATTTTGGTAATGTACTCCGAGCTTTGGTTCATTTTGGTTTCAATGTTTTTAAAAAGGTTCATTTTTCAAATTCCTTTTAATCCCCAATAGCTTAAAAATGTTCGTTTTGATTTCTATACTTTTAAAAGTATCAATTTTAGTTCCTTAGTTTCATTTTTATCTCATTTTTTCTATTACAATTTCGACCTATCACTCAATATACATTTTGAAAACATAACCATAATTTTATATTAAAAGATTTACGTGTATAATTTATGTTAAAATTTTGAAAATAAAGACAAAATAGTCAGTTTTTAAACCATAACTAACACTTGAAAGTACATAGCTACGGACTAATATGAACCAAAGTAAACCATAAAAACGAAAACCAACCAAAGTTGAAAATACTGTACGTTAACCTAAATTATATATATAAAAAGTTCAGAGTGTAGTACCTCGGCATTCTCTCGATGAGGCCAGCGCCGAAGCGGTTGAAGACGATGGTGACTCTCATAATTTTATCATCAGTGAACCCATCATTATGCCCAAGCAGCATCACCTACCAAAATCCATATTTCAATTTTCATAATTTTATGATTAGGACTTATAAGGAAGGACATCAGGTATATGTTAGATGAACAAAACATACTTTGTCATGTTGGGAGAAGTAGTTATTGGAGATGGTGACAGCAGTGGAAGCATGAATGACATCAATGAGACCATCACTGGAGCGAGCCAAAAAGCAGTGATCAATCCACACGTGGGAAGAAGAGAATATAGCAATGGCATCACCGTCACTGCCGTGACGTTCTCCCACGTGCGTAACGGTGTCTCTAACGAGCCCAGGCTTGCCAGGCTTGCAATCGTGGATGCTGATTCCATGAATAATAACATGGCTCACCCCTTGCACCGTAATGCAAGGCCCGTACGCAATTTCAACTTTAACCCCACGTCCGTCGATGGTCTTGAAACTGTTCACCATCAGCTCATTTTTCAGCACAATGACCATATTCTTTGCGAACACAACCCATAGCGGCTTGGTTTGGATCACGCCGTAGCGTAGAGTTCCTGGTTTTGGGTTTGATGGGTTATCGGAGGGGTCGGTGACTACGTAGATGGTTCCAAATTTCCCTCCGATTGCGTCGTTGCCGTAGCCGATGGCACAATCGGCCAGGGCGCGGCGGTTGGCGGCCCAGTTAGACCTCCTCCGCCAGCAAGAGTCGATTACATTCATATTTTGCCTGTCCGGGGTGTAGTAATCTTGAAGGGAGGAATTGATGAATGATAGAACCAATACAAGGCATAGAACAAGGTGGGGTGTGCAAGTGGAGGCCATTGGCTAAAACTAATACTCACACACACAATTGGATTATGATTTATGAGTAGTGTTTGAAGGCTTTGTGAGAATTGAAGTGAATTTAGGGGACTTAAATATGCGGTTTACAAAATGAAGAAAGGTGGAGCTCACGATCTAAGAGAGCGAATTTAGTAACTCTATTTTCTTTTTTTTTTTAATCAGATTGTTAAACGTGGCCGCACGCCTTGGGATTGGGTTTACTTCCAAGAAGTTAGTATCTGATATCATATAATATTGAGGTTCTGCTATGTAAATGGGCAAGATACATGCTTATAATAAGAATGTGGAAATTTTTGTGTGTGTATATAATGATTAAATTAGAGAGAGACTTAAGTATTATATTAAATTAAGTGTGAATCATTTGTAGTGTAATCAATAATACGAGGGAGTATTATTTTACTAAATCTAACTTGCAGTGTGTTTAAAATAACAACAACAATAATAATAAATTTAATTTTTAGGTGTCTTTTATGGTTGATATCAACATAAAATAGTGTTTTTGTTTTTTAAATTTGGCTAAGAATTTAAATAATGTATTGTTAACACAGGTGAAAACATGTAAATAAATAAATAAAAATTGTGACTGATAAAGGTCAAATTAGATCAAAAGATACGTCGTCATTTGGTAAGTGGCTTGACTTCGCGCGTGTTTCTTACAAAGAAAGTTCAGAATCAATAAATGTCGAATCTCCAAACTTGAATGATTCTAAGGTTACTAAGCTAATCGTCAATATTTGAATGGTAACCATTTAACTGTAATCCCCCCACTTGATCATAACATATCTCACACACCTGAAATCATGGAGATAATTGTTTAATTGAGCGCATGACTCTAACGATTATCACCTCTTTCAAATAAATAACTAGGACAGAAAGGAAAGAGGTACGTAGAAATTTTAATTTGAGACTTACTCTCTTGAATCGTGTACTGACAAGAGCTTTGGAGTACTAACTTCTTGTCTTATAGTGTTTTTGGAGATCTTAATGTTTTGACCCATAATTTTATTTTTCAAAATTAGAAGACTGAAAAACGAAATGGTTATCAAATAGGACGTTAATAATGTCTGAATTTTTTAACATTATTAAAATGTTAAAATGTTAAAAATGGTGCCTAATTTTTTTTTAGCTAAATCTATGGTTCTTAGTATTTTAAAGTTCATAATTTTGCCCTTAATTTATTACAAATTCTCAGTTAGATTGTTCAATTAAAAAAAAGTTATATTTTTTTTACAAAAAAATTGTGTATTATTAATTATTACTTTTGTAATATATTTACCAACCATCCTACATATTTAGGCTATATGTTTTTTTTGAGACTTAAAAGATTATATTGCATGCAACAAATTAAGTTGAGTTTTTTAATTACATTTTTGGAGAGCCCTTCCGTACAGAATGTGAACAAAAAGTGAATAACTTTTGACTTGTAGAATTAAATATTGTTTGTTGCGTTATTGACGTAATTAAATAAATAGTCGTTTACTTAAATGTTTTATATATAGTTAGCAGAGAAAATTAAAAAATTTGACCAAATTTATTTAAATTAACAGCACGTCTTTGAAGCCCCCTCAATTAGTGCCTCTTTTGAAGCTTAGAGATGAGTTCTTAGTTGCAAAGCAAAAGTTGTGTGGTGTGGCCGACATTCTTCGTAGCTATCCAAAAAGTCGTATTCTTATTATAAATATTAGCCAAATAAATTTTTAATACATTTATATATCTTTTTAATAAGAAATAAATATAAATTAGAAACAATTTTAATTCCTTTGGTTTGCAAGCATAAAATTAGGCTTATTTAGTTTATCTGAAAAGAAGCTTTTAAGTAGAATTTATTTACACCTTGTTTTTTTTTTATTTGAAAATATAATAAATATGATTATAACATGTATAGATAACAAAGATGATCTAGATTGGATATAACAACTTAATTAAGAAAGGTAAGAGAGAATAATGTGAATTTTTCAAAGTTTTTCTTAGATAAGAAACCACTTTAATGATGAGAAATATTCAAAGTTGATGTCAAATAAAAAACAAAATGAACCTACCTATACTTAGCTAATTCCGAGTTCATTATTTTGAAGATACAAAACATAATTATACGTTGGTTAGTAATGAAAAAGATTATATATATATTAGTAAATAACAATAATATTTTAACTAGACTTTTGCAACTCGGGTTAGTCCAACACATGAGACAAGCACAATGAATGGGCACAGATTAATTAGGAGAACATGACCAAGAAGCTAAGCCCATGAGTTGATTGGCCCATAGGCCATGGGGCATTTTAGACCCCAGTCCATGAGACAAACTTTCTGAGCTAGCCCTGTTTGCTCGATTTTTTAAGATTTACCGAACTCGACAATTTAAGATCCCACGGATTTCAGAAAGAGTAGATCTAAAAAGTTTTTTCACAGGAGAGAAAAGTCTCGTAATCAAAGCACGTTTGGAAACTCTAAATGTGAACTGTTCTGTAGAGTCATTACAGCGGCCAAGTTTTACACATCAACAATAGAAACCAAGTCAGTTATTATGAAACAAGTAATTCTCGAAAATGATAAACATAGACTTGTCGATGGAAATGAAAAAGAAAATCTATTTCATGGGCACATACATGACATTTATCAATACATATATGAATTGAATTAATCAACTAATGTTGAAGTAACGATATATTTGGAAGGAGCTTAATTTTTACTCCCCCTTCATTAAACAAAGAAAACGAATAATAATCAAAACAATGAGAGGTTGGAGAGTGGTGATTGGGATATATTCCCGGGGTATGATTATTTAGGCGTAGCCACACATCCCATAGACGCAGAAGCTGCCTCTACTGCACTTATTATTGCACCCTCCACAATGCTTTCTATTGAACATAGCATTCACACACTTCCCTTTGCAGCAAATCTCCGAGTACTTGCACTTTTTCCCGCACCTCCCGCAGTTGTATCTGTCCCCCTTCAAATCCACGCACTTTTTCCCGCAGCAGCTGCGCCCCCCGCTACCCTTTACCCGACACACCTTTATGTTCCTATCGCATGTCATCGCTGCCTGCCCGTACGGCCTGAACCTGTAAGGCCACAACCCCCGCCCTCCCCTCCCCCGAACCCATGTCAGATCTAAATCTTCCATTTTCGACGCTGCTGAGAGCGATGCAAACAATGCCACCACAAATAACAGCCTCATCAGAAACTTCATTTTTCTTGGTATGATTTGGAGATGAAGAAACAATGCACGTAAGAGAAAAGAGGAGAATGGTTTGGGATTTGTAGAGAAGATATATGGGTATATATATGTGTGTTCAATGATAGTGGATGAGTCTAAAACAGCAACCATATATATGTGGAATTGGGATTATTAAAAACGTGTTAGGTTTTATTTTTCTAGGCAGGGGAAGGGAAAAAGACGAGGTCTTCATGTTCCTATTCTATTCTGCTACGATAACAAAATAAAAGACGCTACAGAAGCACTAACATTATAGTTTATTAATAAACTATAAGCTGTCTTTGACCTTTTGCTAATTAATTTTATACTATTTGAATTTTCCTCTCACTTTTTGGTGATCTTTTTTTTTACTCTCTTTTCTTTACGTTTCTTTGACCTTGGAATTTGAATCATATATTTCAGTTTTCACACGCACTTTTTGAATATAATTTCGATGCTTTTTTCTTCAATTCGTCTACTTTTTTCATCAACTTCTCTGCATGGGTTGAATTTGAAGATTAGTTAAACTTACATACTTTTTTAGTCTAAAATTTTCCATTTTGTCAATTTGATCGACTTTGAATTATTCAAAATTTTACGATTTAATTCATGCAAAATACTTCCGAACTAGAGTTAGAGAAATTTTGATTGGATATTGTTTTAACCAAAAGAATGGATCAAAATATTAAATCTCAAAGAACGCTCGAAGATGATTAAAGAACCTTCAAAACAAGGAGTTTACATGATGCGATGGAATAAAGTTTTCAATATCAAACGTTTGCATACTTTCTTCATGTAATCTCAAGATATTTATTTGAAAAGCTATTTAACCGTTTCAGTCGTAGTTCATCCTTGTGATTATCTTCGAAATTCTAAACGTGACATATGCAGTGAGACAAAGATACAATCAAACGAATATTATTCGAATATTAGAGCGGTTAGTTTTCATAAACCTTGTTGTAGAGTCGTCTAAATTTAGTAGTTCGACGATCATTATTTCCAAACTTATCTCGTGGGAGTCACGTGCGAAATTAAATCGTCAATCTTATGATGACTTGTCCTGGGACGAAATTCGCATTTCATAAGATATTTTAAAATTAAGATTATAATATCCAATTTGCTGGTATGGTATATTAAAAGTGATTGTTAGTATTAATTATCAGTTTTTTGGTGGCCAAATAGCGCGTGACTGTTTCCTTTCTTGTGTCATGTGTGACACGCGGAGTTGGGAAAGAAGCACGTGGAGTTGGGAGTGGGAGGAAAGAAGATCCAATGGCGCGTAATTAACTTTAGACTAAATATGTCAAATCAAACGTCTCTAATTTTTTTTTATTGTTTTTCCTCTAAATTTAGTATCCATCTTTTAAAATTTTAAAATTGACCCTTTAACATATTACAAATTCTCAACCAAATTACTATGTGAAAATATTTTATAAAATATACCAACGAAAGTTTTACAAGTTTACATGTCGATGAATTATTGTTTTATCAACATATTTGCATACGTTAGTCAATGACCATGCCACTAAACACGTTATTCGAAAGAAATAGATTTTATTGATAAATGAGTTGAATTTTGCTGGATTTCATGTGTAAATGAACATTCAAGTTGTTGTATGTTCGCATGTCTACGAATTAGTTTAAAAAAAATTAAGGATGCTATGGATTTTTTATTGATAAGTTTTTTTAAGGAATAATTTTTTAAGAACCAAATTGAAATTTTATTAAAAGATTAAAGATGATTTTTTATACTTAATCCAAAGATTAAGAATTAAAATTCTCTTCAAAATCAAAAATTAATTTAATCATGTGTGCTTAGAGAAAAAGTAAAAATATTTAGAATTATTGTAAATACTTAAGTGAAAAAAGGTTTAATAACAAATAATCTTTTATAGATGGTATTGATGCGAAAATCACTCCAATATATAACAAATATTATAACAAACATGGTGTATGCGAAAATACTCAAACGTTAGGAACTAAAACATACATTCACACGATGTTGAAATACAACACTAACTATGTAATAGCTAGTCCTTCTAGATTTTTCTTGAAGATTGTAAATAAATATCTAAAAGAAAATGGTCTAGAAACATCTTAGGATTTTTCCTTAGGTTTCAAGAGATTCGAGAGAAATTCTCTCCGATAAGTCTAGATAAAGAATTATCTAAGTGAGTGAAGGAAGAGAGGAAAGTTAGAAAGTGCGGAGAGAGTCTCCCATCAAAGAGTATCCATATTCATACTTTCTAAACAAAAGTGAAGCAATTGTCTCTTTCTTTTTGTGCTAATTTATTCAACAAGTAGTATCAGAGCTGTATTGATTTATTCAACACATTATTGCCACGATCACTCTCACTCTCACTAACTTGTTTATGGCAACCGAATTGTGTTTTTTTTTTCTTTTCATTTGGCAACGTTGTGTATGATTGAAGGTTATACAAAAGTCCTAATATAAACATGGATCCGACCATATACATGCTTAGTATCTGTTTGGTAAATTAGGCTGTTACTTTGTTGAGAAGTTGGGGGCAATTTGCCTAAATTTGGTGCAAAAGATTTCAACTTAAATCAGTTAGTTATAAAACCACCTCCATTTCATCAAAAATCAAAATAGACATGTTCTTGTCAAAGACGAAATCTTACCTACTTTTTACTTTGTCATATGATGCCTAAATTATGGGCTGGATGGCGTTGACCATTAATATAATCAAAATTTTTGTTCAAAACTGTGTTTAAAGTTGAATTAATGTTTCGTTAAGAAAAAGAAAAATGGATTAAATTACTATCTTGGTCTTTGGTTCATATTGAAATTACCAAACTTTCACAAATCTTGTAGAATAAAAGAGCTTCGATAAAACCTACAAAATAGAAAGATTATACACACCCCTGAGTACTCTAGTACTTAGATCAAAATAAGGATCAATAGGATATCTTTCCATTTTTTAATTCTTTTATAGGGAGGTAATTAAAAATACTATTTCTAATTCTTTAGATAGGGGTAATTCTAATTTCAAAAATCTCAAGATATTCTTACAACGGAGCTATAAATAATAATAATAAATAAAACAAAACAAAACCCACTATATTTTACAAATAAATGTTTTGAAAACCACTCAAGAAAAATTCAAAAATGTTTCTACACATTACATTATGAACTGAATTGAATTGGTTGAAAGAGTTCCGACAAAAGAAATGGTACCATCATTGACTTTGTAGTCGTCTCTCATTAGTCATTGATTCTGACATCTTAGCGTACGTGCCAGTTTCCAGTCCAGCGTGTGGTGAAATTAATTGGTTAAATTGTATTAACAGCTGGATGTTACCGTTGCTCTTCGAGAATCGTTTTCTAATCATTTTTTAATGTTTTATTTGTTGGAGTTTATCCTTTGTCCATATTAAATATTGAATAATCTGTTCACCTACTCTCTTGTCTATAGTCTTAATACATTGGACCAAGGAACAATATAATTAATAGTCAAATATATTATACATATACATCAATCCAAAAAAAAAAAATTAAGTTAGACGCAATTACAAGAAAATTAAAGTTTAGGATTTATAATGTTGATTATATTTCATAATTTCTATAAAATTGCTAATATGACCATATTTGAATGGTTAAGATTATTTTCTAACAAAAATTCCTATAAAATTAATGAGTTGAACTTGGTTCAAAATTTGAGTCATAAATTTAGATAACTTATATACCCATTAAATAATGTTTATGTGTAATAATTGTGGAATTAAATCATTAAAATTAGGTTCGAGATTCTCTGTATTTATATTCATTTTACATGTACATATTACTTTATTTTTTTACAATATATGAGAGTGGAGTTTCGAACCCATAAACTTTTTACAATAATTTTGACTTTGGTAAGTACATATTTTTACAATTTTTCGTGGTAACCCATATCTTTCATATAATAGTTAGGATAATTTTTGGGTAAATAAATGCGTGATGCTCTTTTTTTTTGTTTTTTTCTGACAGAAATATTGATTGTCCTAACCTAACAATTAGCTAGTACATTTATTATTTATTAATTTTTCTTTAGTACACTAGCATAATTATTTATACATATATCATTTCCCACTTGTCAAGTAACATATTATTTATCTTGTTGAACGTTACATCTTAAGAAAAGACTCGATATATATATATATTTATTTATTTACTTTTCCAAATGAAAGACTCAATATTTATATCACCATGTAAGTCGTCCTCCATTTTCTGTGCCTTGAAGTTCAAATTAGATCGAAGCTGTGTTTTTGGGGGAGTTCCACTAATTGCTACTTCCCAAGCCAGTCTTGAGTGCAGAAATTTTTTTAAAGATCTAAGCTAAGGTAGGAGGATATGAGGGATTCAATGACGAGAGTTAATTTTAAAGAAGAGGATTCATCTTCTCATTGTTCACTTCATCCCATCTATAAATCTAATCCAAATGGGGAAGACGATGAACAACCAATGACTCCAACACCTCATAGACCTCTTGTTAGTGATGAGTGGGGATCTTCCAACCACAAATACCTTGATGCTATCAATTGGTCACCTAAGGACAATCCTGCACCCGCCATCAATGGCAATGACGTTGATAACGTCGATGGAGAAGAAGAGAGCGACAACAATCCCACGGCCCGGCCTTCGACAGAAGACGACCGCTCCGATACTGGAGCGCCAAGGCGAGAGAGCCATGGAAATGGGGCACATTCAAGCCATAACGACGGAGTAGAGCCTGAACCCAATCCAATTCCCACGGCAGAGAAACATCATTTTATTCTTTGCAACAGTATGTTCATCTATACCCCTTGATCATATTGTTTTATTTTGTGGTCTTTTTGGTTTAATTTTGAATGGTGTGAACTAATAGAACTTTTAGATTAATTTGGTATTAAGAAAACATTAACATAATTTGTTTTAATTAAATTTTTAATGTCGCAAATCAATGTTAGTTTAGTCCAAAAGTTATTTATTGTGATTACCAATAATTTGTTGATATTTTTTGTTGATATTTTTTCCGTTGTAAATTAATGCATATTATTTTACTTTCATCATTTAATAGTGAATAAGTCATTTGAGACGACTTTCAGAATGACAGATAACCTAATACAGATTTTAAAAAAAATAGAGTAACAAAGTCAAAAATTTTATTTGTTTGTATTTGTCTTTTTCTTTTAGATTATAAATTAAAACATTAATTTTTAAGACAAAATATATTAATTAAAATATTATAAAGTTTTTGGAACATGTGTCTAACTATTTTAGAGTTTCAAAGAATTACACTTTTGGTACTCAGTTTGAGAAATGATTTCAGAGGGTCACATTTGAGAGTCACTTGATTAATATTAAGGTAATATGCAAATTAAATTATTATTTTAACTGTTGATTTAACAAAATATATTAATTTAATAATATATTGGTGTTCAGTTTGAGAGATAGTTTTAGACGGTGGCTAGACTCATTTGAGAGTTTGTTAGACTAATATTAAAGTAATATGAGAATTAAATTAATATTTTAGGGGTTGATTTAACAAAATATATTAATTTAATAATATATTTGTGGTGATGGTAGTTTTTTTTTCTCTTTTTCCTCTTCTCTCCATCACGCTTCCCTCCCTCTCCTCCATCCATTTATCTACTCGCCGGCTGGATGCTGTTCGCCATTATTATCCTATCCCTTGCTTTTGTGTTGTTGCCCTCGCCGAAGCACACCAAACTTGGTTCAAACCCTCATCTAGAATTTGGAATGAGAACGTTCAAAACGAGTAATGTTGTTGTTTCTTAACTGTGCGACAACAACGATAGATAGCTGGTGATCATGAGAGATTTGATGAGGGGTGTTCTCTGGAGAGGGCGACAACGCGATGGTGAAGGCGAGGGCGATAACATAGCTGCAATGCCAGGCAGTAGGTGAGGAGATAAATGGCTGTCGGTGGCAATGTCATTTGTCAACGGAGGGGAAGGAGGAGGAAGAGAAGGAGAGAAGGGGAAAGAGAGAGAAAATACTATCACCATAGATATATAATTAAATTAATATATTTTGTCACGTCAATAAGTATCATCGACAATTTAACTATCATGTTATTTTATGTTAATTAGTTACTGGTCAAGTAAATTTAGTAGTGACCATTTAAAACCATTTTTCCTACTTCAAATACTAAAAATATTCCTTTTGAAATCTTATGGACCAAATAAATATTCATTCCAAATCTCTCACTTATGCATTTTGTTTGATTTTTTTAAGTCCATTATAATATGAGGTCATACGTTCAAAGTTTACAATATCAGGAGAATGTTAAAAGATTAAATTTAGTCCGAGTCCATATACCAGTGATTGAACTTTTCTAAACCTTAAAATTTTCCATCCTAGTCTACGAAGACGAAGATTCCCATTAAGCAGAAATTAAAGAAATGTAAATTTATTAGTTTAGACTTTCAAATGAGTGATGATTTAGAGTAACAAATCTTAATATATTTTGGTGCAATAGTTTGTTTGAGCAATTGTGGTCTGTTTGTTTGCATGTGTAGCGAAGAAAAAAAGTGGATACCTTCCACTAAATGTTGGGCTGTATCAAGCTGCACTAAAGGGTGACTGGAAGACTGCGAAATCAATATTTGCCATAAATTCATCAGCTGTGACAATGAAGATAACTGATGCAGAGGAAACTGCACTTCATATTGCTGCTGCTGCCAAGCATATTTCTTTTGTTGAAAACTTGGTTGAACTTACCTCTCCATCTGACTTAGCTGCTACAAATGCACAAGGAAATACTGCCCTTGCTTTTGCCGCTGCATCAGGAGTTGTAAGAATTGCTAAAGTAATGGTTGACAAGAATCCCAATCTTCCAAATCTTGTTCATGATCCTCAAATACCTAAACCAAGCCCAGTTTTAATGGCAGTAGCCTACAAACGCAAAGACATGGCTTCCTTCCTTTTCTCTAAGACCAATTTCGAAGCCTTAGATACTTCTGAACAGATTGAACTTCTTATTGCTACCATCTCCACTGATTATTATGGTTTGCTTCCATTCTTATTCTTATGTGAGATTTTCCTTAAAAACTAACTCATCCACCCAAAAGTTGTTCATATTGCTCATTCTCTTTCTTATAGATATAGCATTGGATATTCTCAAAAAGAAACCAGAATTAGCAATTGAACGAAATGAGGATAACGATACAGCTTTACACGTGCTAGCAAGAAAACCTTCGGCAGTTGGTAGCAGCAGTGAGCTTAGCTTTTGGAAAAGACATGTAAACTCACGTAATACATCAACTTTCCTTCCTTTTGAATTCATAAAAATATGTAGAATGAATTTATTTTGAAGGATGAATATATCTTTGTTGTTACTTAGGCTTCAACGGAATCTACAACAAAGCTTTGATGCAGACATTAGCCCATCAAATTGTTGAACGTCTATGGAAGTTTGTTGTCCAGGAGCTTACAAAACAAGAGCTATCAAAGTTTATAAAAACTCCATCAAGATTATTGCATGATGCTGCAAAAGTTGGAAATGCTGAGTTCTTGATAATACTCATTCGGTCATATCCCGATCTGCTATGGAAAGTTGATGAGGATAATAAAAGCATATTTCATATAGCAGTTGAAAATAGACAAGAAAGCGTCTTTAGTTTAATATATGAGATAGCAGGGCTCAAAGATTTCATTGCCAATTATCACGACAAAGAGAAAAACTCCAACATGCTACACTTAGCTGGAATACTGGCTGCTCCATATCACCTCAGCAGAGTGTCAGGGGCAGCTCTACAAATGCAACGGGAGCTTTTGTGGTTCAAGGTATGCGTATTGCGTTAATATATCTTCCTTGTCCTTGGTTTCGAATTTTGTTTCTCCGATATTATTGTTTATGATTTGAAATGTTTTGAACTTGAAGGAAGTGGAGAAAATTGTAGTGTCCTCCCATCTTCAAATGAGATGTTCTATTCCAAAGCCTTCTCAACAAGTAGAGATGATAAGAGACCAGAAAATGAAATGCTCTACTTCAGATGAGGCGCTACCTCAAGTGAAGATCAGGATAAAAGATCAGGAGATCATATACTCTGTTTCAGAGCTTTCTCAAGTGAAGATAATAAGAGATCCAGCTGATTGCCTGACACCTCGTGAGTTATTTACAAAAGAGCACAAAGAACTGCTGAAATCTGGTGAGGAGTGGATGAAGAATACAGCGAATTCGTGCATGCTGGTGGCAACCCTCATTGCAACAGTAGTTTTTGCGGCAGCCTTCACAGTTCCAGGAGGCAATGATAATACCGGAGGCATTCCTATTTTCCGGGAGAATCAAGCATTTACGGTGTTTGTGGTATCAGATGTTACAGCTTTAATATTGTCTACAACTTCAATACTCACTTTTTTATCAATCTTGACGTCGCGCTATGCAGAAGACGATTTCATGGTATCATTGCCAACCAAGTTATTGGTTGGGCTGCTGACGTTATTCGTTTCTATAGCATGCATGGTGGTGGCTTTCAGCGCAACCTTCTTTATTGCTTATGATAAAACAAAGGCGAGGATTCCATTGGCCATCGCTGCAGTGGGCATCATTCCAGTTGGGTTGTTTTGTGTGTTTCACTCTAAACTTGTGTTGGATCTATTGCGCTCCGCTTATTGGTCTAAATTTTCTTTGAGGCAACGTAAAAGAAGGTTATTTTAGAACAATTGCATCAATGCCTATCGAGGATTTTCTCAAATTTTTATAAAGATGTTGTAATATTGAGAAATTAGGATGTGGTAATATATGTAATTTCATGAAAATAATTTGGATGTTAGGAATTTCTTACTTTATTCGTAAAATTAGGGTGGATATATGGTTGGAGCTTGAATCCCTTCCCATCCATAGACGACTGCAATTCCATCTTCAACTGAGGCCACTGGATTCACCTGTTTTAGATTTTCCAGATTTTTTTTTGAAGCTGTGCAAAAAAAAATACTATTAGATCCATTTTTAGCAAATATGTTAACCCACCAAAAAAATCTGGAAAATGACACAAACTACCATTGAATCATTGAACCAAGCAAATTTTACTGATTTACCATGCCTAGCAATTGAACAGAAAACAAAGAATAAACATAAAAACGCAAACAAAATTACTTGTAAAGACAAAAGCGAAACAAAACAATAAAAATAAAAAAAAAATCTTCGAACAACAAATACACAAAATAGAGAGAAATGAAGAGAGAATGAAATCACAGTGCATTAAAACAAACAAAAGGAAAAGGAGAGAAAAAAAAAAAAGGAACGAAAGGAATAACCTTTAATCATCAACCCTTGATTTTTTGAAAAAGTAGGGTCTTACAAAAAAAAAAATAGAAGAAACAGACATTTCTAAAACTATATGGAAAAAACAGGGGACTCTGATAAAAAAAATGGAGGTCCACGTTTAAATGACAATTTTGTCTTGCAGGCCATACCCAAGTAGAAAAAAATCAAAAAATAAGCAAAAAAAAAAAATACGGAAGTCGAGAAAACCCTACATTTCGATCGATTTCCACTGATATATATTTTATATACTTTTAATTTACCACTGATATACAACTAATATAGTACTGATATATAACTATGATATGTAATGATATAACTTATTATACGATCATATGATTTACCATGGATAGAACACTGATTATTTGTGATGTGTACATGATATGTATCTGATTTACCACGGATAGAACACTGATTATTTGTGATATGTACATGATATGTATCTGATTTACCAGGGGTATACCTGAAATATAACCATGATATCTACTAATGTAACTTCTTATATGATTATATGATTTTACTATTGATTGATTTACCACTGATATAACTCTGATATACGTCTAATATATATTTGAAATATATTTAATGTACAATTGATTTACTTTTGATATAACTATGATATCTACTGATATAACTTCTGATGTAGTTATATGATTTACTATTGATTGATCTACTGATATAACTTATGATATGAGATTTACCATTGATATAGTACTGATATATGTCTGATATATGATTTATCATTGATTTACCACTGATATATGTTTGATATGTTGATAGCACACTGTGCGAGCTACATTTCATAAGATTTATATTGAAATTATTTGTTAGTTTTTGTTTCTTCATGACAAATTTAAGCACATAAGATATATTTTGCAGGAATAAAGTATCGGGAGGAAACGAGACTTATTTAGGTCAAAATGAGAGAAAAATCGAAATCAAAGTAACCAAGATGGAATAACAACAAGATTTGAAGCAAAAAACCAGAGAAGATAGCGCCACGGCGCTGGCCTAGAGCGCCGCGACGCTCCGAAGTTTAAATTTCACATTTTGCGAATAGTATAGCGCCATGGCCCTGTGTGTGCTCCATGGCGATGCCGCGATAACTTTTTATAAAAATAGGGTTGTGCAGCCGCCGAGATAGAGGAGTTTGGGAGAGGTTTTTTGGGAGTTTGCCTTTTTGGCCAATTTGGAGGGCAAGGAGACTATTGGAGGGCTTAGAAAAGTGATTTTCAAGGCTCGAGATCGTGGAGGTCGCTTCAGGAACGAATGATTGACACGCGGAACATAGTTTATTCTCCTTTCCCTTGGTTTTTCTAGTTTTGTTATGGACTCCTCATTGTGATTTTATTATTTTCCATTGAATATGAGAAGCTAAACCACTAAAATCTAATTTAAAAATTGAAAGTAAATAAATAAAAATTTATTCCAAATTTGACTAAAATCTAATTTAAAAATTGAAAGTAAATAAATAAAAATTTATTCCAAGTTTGACTAACGTTTAAAATTTATAAATTTCTATGTTAAAATCTAAAATTTAAAATTTCTAGGTGGGATGGGTAAATATATTTAATGGGTCCATACATAACAGTATGCACCCCCATTTTTGGGGTCAATGTCAGTATCTATAGTAGTATGCGCTCCCATTTATGGGGTCAATGTCGGCATCTACAGTGGTTTGATTTGGTGTTGCTTTTTCATTTTGGGATAAATGTTGGTATCTACGAAGGCAATACCTATAATGTCTTCCACAACAAACGTGTTTCTATGATTGTGAGCACAATCGTGACCTATAATAAAGAACTTGAGGGAAAATAGGGGAAAAGTAAATTCAGGGGCTAAATTGCAAACTCCAACAACAATGGAAGGGAGAGAGAAGCAAACCGAAATAAAATTGATAAGACTAAGAGAAAAAACAAACATAAATAAAATTGAATAAGACTAACCTCAATCCATGCCCAAGCCAATGGTAGTAGAACTTTTGCAATCATGACAAGGGTAGTAAACTAGACATACTAAACCAGATTTCCATGCTTTCACATCATTGATCTCAAACACCTTAAAAGTCGTGAGTGATTTGTTTTGATCTTTTGGAGGGTTGGGGGTTTTCTAAGTTCGGTCAGTTATGATTATGTCGATCAGTCTTCTTATCGGAGCGGACATTTGGGCTTTTATTGCTCGCACTTCACTTCGGAACTCATACCTATTACCATGGGGGTTTCCCACCTTTAACTTCCCGAGATGACCAATGGGGCGAAGAGGGTTGACAGTATCCTAGGCCCCCTTGACCTTGTGTGGAGTTGGAAGGGTTGGGGCCACCTTGTCAACAGGTTTGTCTCCCCGACACTCCTTATCGCCGGATTGTTCATAGGATGATTCCTTGTCAAAAGTTATTCTCTCAGTGTCTTAGTGCGGAGAACTAGTTTTCGTTTGACTTGAAAATGTCATCCCTACAGACGACGCCAACTGTTGACGACGAATTTTGGAGAGGTCCACGTGTCCCTCGGACGAATGTTTGTGGCAAGGAGAAAATTATCCTGCAACCAGAAAACTCGACGCCAGTGTGGTGTCCAGTCTAATATACTCCAATGAAGTATGAAAATAGGGTAGACACCTTAGGGTTTCAGTAACAGATTTTTCACTTACTTCGTAAAGGTGGGAGTCCTTCCCTTTTCTAGATGTAGATGACCGACCAAGAAAGACGACGATTGAGGTGGCAGGAGTGTACCGAGCTGTACGAGGTCCTGACAATAGAGTGTACGCCCCCAACAATCAGTGGGTGGTGCCTCCCTTTGCAGGCCTGCAACCTGAGCGAGTACTAGGTTGCAGTCCTTGGCGTATCTTCATACAATGGTGGTTGGCAACGCACCAGCATGCTAGCATAGGGTACGATAGTAACCGTTTGTAGTCCCATGCCTCATTGTCGCTCTCGAAATTCGACACGTGTCTTGCTCGGACTTAACCTCGACAAATTATAGTGAAATTATTAACAATATTGTGTCATTTTATATGGAAATTCTGATTAGGAAGTGGCACATTCAAGTTATAATTTTCCAACTAATTGAAGTTTCACGCTGTCGTGTTCAGATATAATGCACCTTGTGTAGTTGATGAAAATTTGAAAGCAACTTACTATCTTTACTCCTTCCAATTCGTCAACTTAATTAAACAAATCAAATAAAAATTTAAGTTGAAAATTGTGTGTGCATTGCTTAATTAAAACACAGTTGACATCTTTTAAAAAAATCATAGTAAAATAAAAAATAAATAAATTTGACATGTCCACGCTCAAATTAATTAAGACATATTTTGGATGAAATGATGGACTTACAGTTACATATCGTTGAATTAAATAAAACACATAATTAACATAATATTTTTTAAATAAGATATTTCCATATTTTTAAGAATTGACTATATATATGGTTCAACAATATGTAATAATGAGTATTTGAGCATTTAATTCTTTGAGATGATGAGGTGAGAGGAGTTCTAAAGAGGAAAGGGGCAGGATAGAAGGGGCGCACAAAATCTAGAATTCAAAGTTGGAAGCAAAATAATAACATTCTGTTGAGTCCAATGCACTTGGCTCATCTTGTAGACACGTTGTTTGCTGCTTCAGCGCAATCCCTGTATTGTAAAGAATCATGATATTTGAACACACTAACTCAAATTGAGGAGCTTGAAATATAATTAATATCTACAAGTATAGCTAAGTATATATTATACTCAGAGTCAACATTTTTAGTTGAATTCCCATCCAGGTTGTCTCAAGAGATTGTCTCAAGGGCACAAACTCTTCTCCTTGAATACCAACAATAAAACTAGCCCAATCTTTAAATGAAAAGTTGACTAACCAGAGTTTATTGCTGCAAAAATACATCATAGCGGAAGATAAATAGTCTCTAAAGATGCCAAGAAAGAAAAAGGAATAGAGCAACAAAATTACTTTTACTATACCTAAGATAACAATTGAAGAAAAATATCACAACCATATCCAACAAATCACGTAGAAAGAAAACTTGCAAAACATTTATTAACTCATGTACTCAGAGCCTCATTTACGAGGGCCAAAAAAGAAGAGGAGAAAGCTGTTAATGGTTCAATACTAGGATGGAAAAAAAACTGAACATGGAGCCAAATGTACATCAAAGAGAGATATCAAACACTCATATAACAGAAGAAAATCAGAGTGCATTCCCGACCATACTCTGCACTGGCTCATCCAGGACTGGTGCTTTGTGAACTGAGTGGATTCCAACTCTGAAACAGTTGGTCAAGCTTCTGGTGATGGGTTGCCCCTCAAGAAATCAGAGTGCATTCCTGTTGCGAAAATTTGTTGATTTGCTCCTTCATTGAAGTCAAAATCAACTCAGTAGGGGCTGATTGAAACTTCATTGTTGGAGTTTGATCTTGGAGATACTAAGACGTACCCCTGCACACCTCCATCAACCATGTACATTGCCCACGCATTCAACCCACCTGAAAGTGTTCGTAAACACGAGTCAAGACCGATTAAGACTTCATCAAGATGTGGATATGTAGAAATATAATGATATTAACCCAGAATCTTCCATCAATTTCCAAAGAACTCTTGGACTAAACGACGCTGGACATAAGAAGTCCTCTCAAGAAAGAAACATCACTAATCTAGTAATATGGCATCAAGTTTCTTACATACTTTTTGTCAGTTGTGCTCCAATCTTTTCAGCATGTGTAGCTTCTGCACATTCTTTTCCTACAGGGCATCAAAAATGACCTATCCCACCACAGATTGTGCAATATACCTGCTACATCTTTCCAAATAAAGCAAAAAACGCTGACGATCGGGATCGTGAGCACCCCCAAAAAAATCAATAATAGGTGAGTCTTTTCTTTGTGATACACCAGAATTACAGTCGCACAGAAGGCTGACATCAGACCCATTATTGCAAGAATTAGTAACATCAGTCCACAAAGTAACTTTACTGGCAATATTTTTTGAAAATTTTCTTCAGTGAAATAAGAAGTGAAAATGGATATAAAGAAGAATAGCGAGGTTAGAGAAGACCCCAATGCCATTGAGTTCGATGCTATGAGAAGCACGAACATTGGATCACTCCGTAAATTGAATAAGAATCTGTCTGGATCTGTACCTCCTGGTAGCATGAAAATGGCCGCAAAAACGCCTGCTGCAACCAACAGTGCTGCTGGCATGCAGGTTTGTGCCATACTTTTCATTCTTTCCTTTGCATTCTTCAAAACCTCCCCATGCTCTTTCGAGAATAACTCACGAGGAGTCAAACACTTCGGTGGAGGAGGTTGTCCGTTCCCACTGTGGGAAGGCGGTTCTTCTACTTTAATTCTAGAAAGAGACAGTGTAGAATGTCTTGCCTCATAAGGGGAAGCTACCATAGCTTTCTCCACCGCCTGAAATTTTACAATATTTAAAATAATAAATAATTATAACAATAATAATAAATTTTAAACAAGGAAGATGCATAAAAGATATACCTTAAACCAAATCAGCTCACGCTGCATTTGTAGAACCGCACCTGACACCCTGTTTAGATGTTGTGGTGCTGGCAGTTTTGCCGCTAAATGGAGTAGGCTATCGTTGTCCTTGTTGTATAATTTAACAAGGATATCTTTCGATCCTCCCCATTCAAAAAGATAAGAAAAAGTTTCTTCTTGCCTATTCTTGACTGCAACATGAAAAATACTATTACCCCTATCATCTAGCTCTGATAGCAAAGTAGGGAATTCATTCAAAAATATGATGATGAAATTTATATTTCCTGCCCTTGCAGCATCATGTAGAATCCTTGTTGGAATATTGATCAATTCTAAGAACTCATTAGTTGTGAAATTTCGCAAAGCCTCTGCTATTCCTACAACTAACTGATGCGCCACCGTCGACATCGTATCTTTTCTATAAAACTTTTTGAACCCTGTCAATAGAAAACATCATATATTATTTCAAATAAATGTAAATACTTATATATGGACTAGACTAGAATTGTTTGGGGTATTACCAGTGTGCATAATTGATTTAAAGGAGTTAAGTTTTCTTTTACTGCTAATTGTTGCCGGTGATTTCCTCGCCAGCACATGTACAGCCGTGTCACCATTTTTGCTCCTCGTCCATGCTAGACTTGGTTTAAATTTGAAATGCTCAGATGCAATGTCTGAGTGACAAAAGAAGAGCTAGAAATATAAGGTATTGATTAGATAATTTAAGAAATTTAATGCAAATAGGGATGAAGCATACCGTAAAAATCAGAGGCGATGCTGCCAATGAATATATCCATCTGTGTACAAGCATCGAGTTCTTCAATTTTTATTTTGGAGTGGAGTAGTGAAACCATTTCTCTATTATTTTGGTTCATTGCGATTACAAGTGGGATTTGATCTTCAGAATCACGAGTCATGAGAAAAGTAATATCAATCTGGAGTATAATTTCAGCAATTTCAACGAGCCCATACCTAACAACAGCAAGAAAATCATGAGTCTCAAGAAGAGTGAAATTAATGCTGAGAATCTAACAATTTCAACAAACCCATACCTAACAACAATAATAAAGCCGGTATCTCCAAATTTATTTTTTACACCAAAATGAGGCGGGGACATTAGTCCAACCAACTTCTTTATGAACGAAACATTCCTCGTGTTAACAGCTATATGAAAGAGAGTTTCATCGAAGATTGTTAACTTCTCCGTAAGAAAGGATGGATCTGACTCGAGAATGGACTCAGTTGTTTTCCAATCACCCTTGCATGCTGCTAAATATAATCTATTGATTCTATTCACTGGTGAAATGACTGCAATTTCCTTGTCTGCACATACAAAACAAACAACCAATAAGATGAATCAAATTGAAACACCAGCCCCAAAATCAAAAATCAAAAAACAAGTTAAATTACCAACAAACGAACCAAGAAAACAAAAACAGGAGCCAAGAAAGGAAATCTTCCCAAAAACTAGAACCAAAAGATATAAAGACCAGCAAACAAATAACCCCTGAAAAGTTTTTGAATCTTATCTAACACTTTCTTGTCTTTTTAAAATCAGTAACTTTGAATCATATCAAATCTTCTTCAACCTCGTTGGAAAGAGAAACCAATATAAAAAACCTAACAAGATATGGTAAGTATGCTCTCTTCTCTCTTCACTATTTCCTCTCCCTTATGGTTTTGAAGGGGACATTCAAGCGAGTTCTTAGTTCAGATCTCAATTTCACATTAGTACAATTCAGATTTTAGTTCCTTTCTATTGTTTTCTTCGTGGAAATCAATAGTTGTTGTGATGTAACCGTATAGGTTGTTAGTAGTTGTTTTAGTTATTTAGTTGTAGTTTGTTTTAGTTAGTTGGTTTCTTAAGCTGTTAGTTTGTTTTCGGTTTCAGCCTTAAGAGGCTTTCTCCTATTTGTAAGATAATTTTGCTATTCAATTAGATTTCTTCTTCTTGGTTACCCCAAGATTGGTATCAGAGCACCTAGTCTTGGGATCAATTATTGCAGGGAAAAAAAACACATCCAATGTGGGCGACCCTTCCCTGACAAAAAAAGAGGCGGAGCAGCAGCCCGTCCTCTCCCCACGAAATGCAACCAACCAACTCGTGATGGTTGAAGGGGTTGTTGAAAATGTCCAACGGAATGTGGTGGAGATTCGTCAACTTTTGCAAGGCATAATGGCTCGATTAGATAATCTGGATTTGCATCCAAACCAAGAAACGTTGGAGCAAAATTTCCAGCGGAGGGAACAAGGTTTTAAGGTGGGACAAGAACAGCTACAGACAGCTCCAACATTCATCCGAGAACCATTACCCGCCCAAAGAATCCTTCAAGATTCTTTGCCCACCCCAAGAATTCTCCAAGAATTATTGCCTGCCGATCGAAGACTTCAGGATCAACGAGGTAATCATCACCGCTACCCTCCCATGTATCATAGGCGTGACCTTTTGTTGGATTCTTCTAGTGATGAGGAAGATAATCCAATCTGGGAGGCTGGTGGTCAATATGCTCGATATCCTGATAGAAATTTTCAGGGGCCGAATGACTATAAAATGAAGATTGATCTTCCCATTTTTTATGGCAAACTAGATATTGAAGGCTTTCTAGAGTGGGTTAAAAAAAATGTTGAGAGTTTCTTCAATTATATGTCCACACCCTATCACAAGAAGGTTAAACTGGTTGCCCTTAAACTAAAAGGCGGAGACTCAACGTGGTGGGAGCAATTGGAAACAAATCGAAACCGTTTTGGTAAACTCCCAATCAGAACTTGGGGGAAGATGAAAAGGCTAATGAGGGAATGCTTCTTGCCCATCAACTATGAACTAGTACCAAAATTGTCTACAAGGAACACGATCAATAGTTGAGTATACTAAGGAGTTTAATCGATTAGGGGCACGCACGAATCTTGGAGAGAATGAACATTATCAAGTCGCAAGGTATATTGGTGACCTTCGAAGAGACATCAAAGAAAGGATTCAAATCCAGTCAATCGGATACCTTAATGAGGCTATTGCTACAGCTATTTCAATTGAAGAACAACAAGCCAATAAATTCAAGTTTCAATATCAAAGAAGGCAAGCATGGGACAATTCTAAAAAATCCAACTACACACCTGACGAGGGTCTAAATCAAGGTGCTGCTTCCAGCTATAAGGGTAAGGCTATTTATGACTCTGAACCAGGTGACACCCCAACGGCAAAGAAAAATAACAATGCCCACAATCGCCCAAACCTGGGGAAATATTTTAGGTGTGGGCAGACCGGACATTTGTCCAATGAATGCCCTCAACGAAAGAGAATTCATATTCTTGATGATGGGGACGAAGGTGACCAAGAGGAGGATCCAAATGAAGTGGATGAAGATTATTTGTTGAACCCAATGAAGGGGAGCAACTTTCTTGCATCTTGGAAAGAATCCTCCTAACTCCTAAAACGGATTCTTTTCCTCAAAGACACTCGTTATTTCAGACCTGTTGTACGATCAACGAGAAAGTATATAATGTCATTATTGACAATGGAAGTACGGAAAATGTCGTATCCAGTAAACTAGTGGCTGCCTTTAATCTCAAAGTTTCCCCACATCCAACTCCTTACAAGATTAAATATGAAAAAGAAGAAAAAGTTCGAGTTTACAAGCTCCCAAAGGAAGCAAAAAATGCTCTCTCCTCTCATCCTCCCCCTTCATTGCCTAGTTCCCTCCTCTCCGGTGCCCCTTTCCGATGAGTTTTCTGAACATAGCCTTCTGCCTACCTTGTCATCTCCCTTCCCGTTCCTTCCCAGAAGCAAAGAACACTCCTTTGCTTTTCTCGCCTCTTCCCAGAATGGAAGTAAGCAGTTGTTGTATCGATCGGTCCTTTTTCTGCATCTGGTTCGATAACGATGTCTTCAAGTTGGAAGATGTGAATTGTAAGGTTATCATGTCTATTCATCCCTCTCAATTCCTCTGGTTCGAAAATCACATGTTGGAAGTTAATCGTGTACCCATCTCTGACTCTATTTACTTCCAACTTAGAGACGACCTTGGACAATGCCGTATACAAAAATTTCGCTCAAATTGCCTCTGGTTCCTAGAGTGGGTGTTATGGCCTTCTACCGGTGGTCGCAGGAACATGGCCGTTCCGACTGGCTCCAAGAGGGACGGATGGAATGTATTTAGGAAAATGATGAAAACATTCTCCGTAAGAATAGCAGTCTCAGGCAATGATGGTAGCAAGAAAGGAGCATTCATCTACTGTTAAGCTACCTGTTGCAGCTGACGATTTGAACGTGCAGCAGAAAGGGAAGGACCCTGCATCTCAGACTTGGCCACCAAGAAAAGAAAAGACCTATGCTGATGTGGTGAGTGGAAAAGCAGAAGAGTCTTCGAGGTTTCCACGAGAGGACCATAGAGTCAGCGAACTTCCAAGGAGATACGGTCAAAGCTCAAGACTTTTGGACCATGAAAGAAATAGAGGTGTTGGAACTGGATTGGAATCATTTAATGGTGACCTCCAGAGGATGCGCGCATGATGACTGGACTGAAATCTCCAAGGCTTTGAAAGACAAATTTTCTCTTGACTGTTTGATAAATTTGTTCATGGTTGACAAGGGTCTTTTGAAGTTTGCAGGTGATCGAATTCTGAAATCATCTGAACTGTCCGGGAAATGGAGAAGGATCGGGGATTTTCATCTGAAGCTTGAAAAATGGAATCCCCACCTGCACATCAAAAAAGAATTCATACTTGGATATGGCGGCTGGATAACAGTTCATGACCTACCCTTGTATTATTGGTCCCGATCAACATTCGAAGCCATTGGTAGTCATTTTGGTGGGTTGTTGGAAATCTCTACCAAAACCCTTAATATGCTAGATGCCTCGCAAGCCTTTATTAAAGTTAAACCTAATTACTGTGGTTTAATCCCAGCTTCCGTGTCATTCACCAACGAAAAATATGGCTCTTTTGAGATCAAGTTTTCTGCACGTCGGATCCCTCAACCAAGAGTTTCAATTGATTCTATTCTCATCCCTGATTCTCTTTCAAATTCTTTGGATGTCAAAGGATTCCGAATGATATTGGAAGATGAAAAGTCGAGTTTTTCAAAGTTAGATACAGAAGCTACAAGGTCACAAGAGAGAGGTGACGTTTCAAAGGAAATCCCGCCAGAATATGAGGAGGCAGCTCATAATTCTCCTTCGACAGTTGGACTATTAAATACTGAGAAAGAGAAAACAAAGGCAGTTGAGAAAATCACGGTGCCCGAAACGGCTTCATCTCTAGATTTATTAATGAGAGAGAAAGAGAACAACATATACCTTGAAGAAAATACTCTTCCCAATATAGCGGCGCTTGAAATACCCAGAGAGAGAATAGATAAAAGCTAGCACAAAAGGCTCAGATTGTTCCATTTTCAGAATCTCTAGAATCTCAAAAGACTACAGAAATGGCAAGCCAAGATTTCAATCACAAGGAATTATCTGTTGAGATACCAAAGCAATTGGTAGATTCTCCTTTCCCACCCCGAAACAAGAAAATCCAACGGTCAAGTGGCCCCCCTCCCTTTCTTTTATTCAAGAAGCAAGGACAAACAAGAATCATTAAACATGACATCTGCCGTTAAAGAAGTAACAACAAATCTTCTGGAAGACTTTAATGAAGAAAGAGAAGCTCTCCCCCCAAGCACTGCTCGTTGCATTCCACCCTCTCTCTCACAAGGATTCATTCACCCCTCAAAGAACCCAAGCCTTTCGCCTCCCTCTCCTAAAAGTCCTCTGGACAAGAATTCGGATTCAGAGATAAGTATAAGCAGCCCTGATTCCTCCCCGATACCTAACACTTTTGATTATCCGGATGAGGTGATTTGTGATCAGTCATTTGGAGAAGTCATACAAGGTTTATTCGACGAAACAGAGAATCAGAAAAAGACAGATTTCATTCCACCTTTCTTCGAAGAGGCGGGTATCCAGTTGTTTCAAATTTCCAGTTCGCAATGAAATTTGTTTCGTGGAATGTCAGAGGTCTATGCAATGAAGCGGCAAGATTAAAGATCAAGAATTTCATCCTACACCACTGTCCGGACGTAGTATGTCTCCAAGAAACAAAGTTACAGCATTGCGATTTACAACTAATTAAATCCATGTGGAGCTCCAGACATATAGGTTGGTCAATAGTTGATTCCTATGGAAAATCCGGAGGTATCCTTTTCATGTGGGATGAAGCCGAATCAACGTTAAGGAAGTTATCAAAGGGGGGTATTCTTTATCAATTCTTATTTCCTTTTCAGGCATCGATGATATTTGGCTAACCACTGTTTACGGTCCAACAGACAATAAAGAACGGAGGTTTTT